CCCCCCCCCAGCACTGCCTCGGCACGCCGGCACGTCGGCACGCACGCCGACGGACTATGAAAGTAGCCATTCTGTTCTAAGAGTCTCGATATATAGCTCTTCCCCGTGCTCACAGAGACATGTTCAGCGCTGATAAAGCCGACGGCAACCTTGAAGAGCAATCTTTCCCGGTCTAGCTCCTCCAGTTCGTAGTGTGATGTTGGCGCGGAACCATCGGAGATTGTTAGAGTGGGGTCGAGCCACATCTTCTCATGACAAACGTCCGATTCGGGTTGTTAAGTTTTCGTACTAATCGATGTTCTTGGCCAAGTGCGTATCTACGAGGACCACCGACGTCTTTGCTATCACATGTTCCAAGGAACAGTTTTTCCCCATTCTAATACGGCGTGCAGCTGGCGATGTTTTCTCGTCTCGGTCATTGCGATGACATAAAACTTGGGGTCAGGAATCTTCTCCCCAAAAACGGCGTCGCCCACGCCGCACGCCGCGTATCGCAGGATTGCGATGGAAGATTGGAGCGCGCAATTTGTGAGGTAGGGAGTCCTTTAATTATTTGAAATAGCTGGCTGCTCTCTTCAACTCCAATACGATCTTGATTGTCGCTGATAGGAGGAGTCATTCTGATAAATCAAGTCTAATAAAAATAAACACGAAGAAGAAACAGAAAAAACGATCAAATCTAACAAAAAAAGTAAGGCAATCAACAAAAAATATTGCGTTTTATCGATTGGCAGGGAGGCGGGGCGAGTACGGTAGTTGCAGTGACATTTGCCGCCGCGTTTATACTACTCTGTGTACCTTTTCATTCTATTCCAGAAAGGGCGCAGGGCGCTAATTTTAAAGGCGATGCCGAATCGCCTTCCGGACGGATACTTTCCGGTCACCTGAATGCACTGCTTGTGACTGAGTCGACAGGCAAAATGACGATAACAAGGACATTAAGACACATATGAGGTAGTACACAAGAGCTCTAATTTTTGTCAGTACAGAGCAAACTTTGGTTAATGCATTTTCATTTCGACCACATGTACCTATATGTAGACAGAGCAGTTTCTTTTTTTTTCTGCCAAGGGATCATCAACGTAGCCACATGCCGTAGCCTCCCACACCGTAGCCAAGTCCCATCATGCCAAGGCCACCGTAACCGTATCCCATGCCCATATAGGGGAAGCCCTGAAATTCATGATGTGGTAGAGAACCGTTCAAAACTCAGTACAAGTAACTTTAACTCACGAAAAACTGGGCATCCGTAGTCGTCACGGAAAGGCAGAACGCAATCGTAGCGATGAGTACGATGCTAAACCAAAACGCTCATTTCTTTTGGGATTGAAATTTTCATTAGACTCTCAAATGTGCAAAATGCATTTGCGTAATTTTATGGTGCGTTACTAACATTGGTGAGAATGCCATGTTAATGAAGTCGAAGACGAGAGAGGAAGCTTGATGCTGACGGAATGTTTAGAACTTAAATATTGCCCCAAAGTTTGTTCACACTTGACTTTTTGAGAAACTTGTAACCTCTGTCCTCAAAAGAAGTAAAGTTTGTTTACCAAAAGGCTAGTTCTTTGAAGTCATGATTGCCAATGACTAAAAGCATTATGTTTATCCGAAAGATTTCAAGTACCGCCAGGTGGTGAACCTGCTTTCGACATTTCTTCACAACGGTGTTTTTCATATACCGCTATCGCACTAAGTAAAGCAAACTTCATATTCTACTGCCTCCTATGATCATATAGGTACTATAGCACAGTCATTGCCCCTGTTATGGCTCGCAGAGGCATCTGAGGTTCAGATTTTGTTTGTTCTGATTCTCAAGGACCGCCCATTAAGGACAACTCAGTATGGTACTAAATCACAGGCTAAGTGGAACTTCTGAGCCTTTATCTCTCCTGCATGTAGTGTAGTGAATGATAGACTAAATATAGTGGCAGACAGACGTACATATATGTTCCTAAAGACCTGATTGTGGTGCGGCTAAGGAAGATGAACGCCGCGGTTTTATGCATTGAAAACTGTAGACGTTATCAGGCATGTTACCCATCTAAAACTGTAGACGTTATCAGGCATGTTACCCATCTAAAAATTCATTGAAACTTCAACGCAAGTATTGCCCCTTAAATAACCAGTGTGGTCGACATATGTACATAACAGTTGTAAGCGGGGTTGGTACAATCATTAGTTGTACCTGGGAGTGGTTGGTTCTAGCCGGAATGTCTTTCAAAGTGCCACATCGACAAATCAGTTCAAATTGAAACACTTCTACAATTCTGAACCGAGGGACTTTCGTCTTTCTATAATGACTTTTCTATCCCTCTNAAATGTAATTTATAAAGTTAAAAATGTAAAATTTTTTGATTTATATTTAAATAAATTTATAATTTTAACTTGCAAATTAAACTTTTATATAAACTAAATATATATCTATTTTTATATCAAAATTACAATAAATAAAAATTTTAAAATTTTATTGTGTGTCACAAATCGCTAAAACCGGTAAAGATAAAATTAATAAAAAAACTGTTACAAATACCGTTCACACAAACAATGCCACATCGACAAATCAGTTCAAATTGAAACACTGCTACAATTCTGAACCGAGGGATTTTCGTCTTTCTATAATGACTTTTCTATCCCTCTACTGCAGTTGCCATTTCCAACAGTGAATGATGGAATGTCATAATTCCGAGGACACCAATGACCAATTTAAAGGCACAGTTCACGATAATTTAGGGGTATCCGGTAATTCACAGATAGTGATAGGTAAGGCCTACATTAGGACAATGGTAAGGCAAAAAACGCGAAAAACAGCGAAAAAATGGAAATATAAACGATCAAAAAAAAAGAGGGAAAAAGGGGGCAGAATGAGTTTCATAATGGAAAAACGGCGGTCAAGGGAATTTTCGGGCGAGTCAGACGTACGCGACGCAGTGACTGCAATTTCACACAACATACCCAAACAGCTGATTTTGCCATCATTGTTGAAAATACTTATCATTCTGTCGATATTTTACTAAAATATTCTCCTGATCCACTCGCACTTGCAGCGAATGATTATTTTCAGCTGGGTAGAAGCGAATAGTAGTAGCATTAAAGAAAAGCGATCGAATGTCAAACTCTAGTCGGCGGACGCAACAAAATCTACATGCCCCTCCTTGGCAAATTACCAAACAGCTTATCGACTGTTCACTAATGTTGCTCCATTGCGAAAGTTGTGAATGGCAACTAGAATTCGTAGTCAGCCTATCGAGGGGCGGAGGTCTCTCGTCCCCCACTCTCAGGACCTTTATTGTGCCCTGTCCAGAGCGTTTTACGACCTCATTCCTGCACAAATGGTATCAGAGGGGGCGTCGAATTTTTTGAATGCTTCGAAACTACATTGTGTTCACAGGTGGGAGCAGGTGTAGCCGACGTACATCGCCATTTTCCATAAATGGGAGAGCTGAGAATAGGAAATTGTCCTCGTCAGAATGTTTGTGGTGCTCACAGCATTGATTTCCATCTCAGGAAATGTTGCTTCCCAAGGTGGGTTCTTCTGACTAGAGCCAACTCCTAATAGCCAGTTACCAATTTCTGCTAGTCATATATGCAGCGGCCATCTCAAAATTTTCCAGGTCTAGAAATTCCTCTACCGGAGGGAATAGAAAAAGTGTTTAAGACTCTGAACGGACAGTACAACGAAGATCTGGTCAGTTTTATCGAAGGTTTTCCTTCATTAGCTTCATTCCTTAAAATGTGATCTTCTGGTCACAGCTATGGAGTAACGGTTGGGCAAACAAAGCGTTGGAGTGGTTGAATTCGAAAGGAAACGTGACGGCTGACGTGATCGTCATGGGAAAAGAGTCAGTATTTGCATCTTTGTATGATGATTTTTTAAGGGGGAGCAATATTCTAATAGGTACTTCCCGAAAGGGGATAATAGATCGCTGGAAGAGAAACTGCTTGCAATCCTCAAACCCCGTTTCGAGAATGAATATTTCTTTTCGGTGATATTCCATACATTTGTGTCTTACTCTCCGGAAGAAGATCACTGAAGGTAGTCTTTCAGATCGCCAATCTTCCAGCATATTCTGTATATGGATGCAACTTCATTGCCAATCCGAAAGGAAATGAAGATTATATTCGTGCTGTATGTCTGTACTTGAAGCTGCCTTTGATAGTGACTCACAATGTACCACAAGGCTCAGAGGCCCCCTTACCGAAAGAATTGGAAGTGACGTTCAAGAGTATCAACTCAAAGTACAGCAACAAAACGGTCAGTTTCATCAGAGGGTAGGTAGCTCGAATCTTGTGAAAGTCAGTTTACAGGAATGGAGCGATGATTGGGCGAAGAAAGCACTGGAATGGCTGAAGTCACCTGGAAGTGTAGAGGCTGACGTGACTATCAAAGGGAAGGGGTCAGTACCTGCATTCCTCTACAATTCTCTTGCTTGAAGGACGCAGTGCTTTATCAGGTACTTCCCAATAGCGGGTTACGGACACCTGTGGCAGAAAGTGTATTGGATTCTCGTTCCCCGTTTTGATAAGAAAAAGAAAATAGTGAGTTTAGCACATTATAGCGGTTCTACACGCCATTGAACCTTCATATTTCGAGCCTAATAATATGTGTTAAGATCGAGCATCTACCTGAGGGCACAGTGTACGGATGCAATGGCTTCATGAACACAAAGGGAAAGAAGAAAGATTTCATCTACACTGCCTGTCTCTATAAGAGACCATGATATAGTCAAACTTCATTCGAGTTTTTTGATAAATTGACCAGGTAATGAAGTGTAAACTCAGAGAAGAGCGAAACTCTTACGACGACCAGTCTACTGTGTTACCAAAACTGTTTATAAGGGGTGCTCTACTGAGTGATGCAGCATTGAACGATATTCAAAATAGTGTCGGATGAAAGTTGCCCAGTTCTACTATTTCAAGCAATGAGATGTTACGGTTGTCATCATGACCCTGTATATCACGATTTATACGATAGGTGAAGATGTGACGCTTACAGCTTCACCTGATAAGAGCCAGTGGCCCAAGAAGTCGTCAGTGTATGGAATTTTTTCGAAACTTCAAAAACGAATGAACGGAACCAGGCAAAGAAAGCTAACGATAACGCAAGAGTAGAAGCATCTCCCAAAAGTTGATAGGAGATTTTGGTTTGTAACATCTGTCGGGTTTTGTTCCATTCAAACCGCCTCTCGCAGCTGGATTGTTTTTGCCGATTATGCTGTTTGAGGAAACTATGGTCTTGAGCAGACCACGATTACGGTGATATGATGAGATTTCGCTGGAATACAAATGCAGAGCCATTTATACCTTCCAATACTATTACAAAGAACAGATGATATCATCTTTGTCATCTCGACTGGTATGTTCGCCAGCGCCGCCACTGAAATCACACTTTAGTTCTGCCCATCTTGCCCGTCCTTTTTCAGCTTTCTCCTTCTTGTTTATCTTCAAGAATGACATAGAACAATAAATAGAACAGAATCCTCATGACCGTCGTCACCACCCTTATGGGCGTGGTGCGGACAGACAGTTCAACCGAGGGAATGAGACGGTCAGACAAGCTGTCAACATTGGTTCACATGATACTAAAATTGTGGGACAAATGTCTTAAATGCCGTCTCCCTTTGGTGTGGGACGACTTCTCTCGTCAGGCCTACCACATCTCAAGTTGGAAGTATTACTTCGTATTCGTTGTTGGTACTTGGTTCGAACGTTGAAATAAGGAGGGTAAAGTAAAAGAATAAAGTTTTTGGCGTTAATCAATCCCGTCTGAGGGAAGCGCCCCCGCACGACTTCCGCTCAGAATCGTAGTGGCGTAATGAGTGCGTATGAGACCTATACAATAACTTGCGGTGGCCAGCCGATGTACAAGTCAGTGCATCTCAGGAGTTCCTGGATGACCCAGCTAAACTAGGTCACCCCATTTGGCCTGTTGTAACTGAGAGGGGATGGTAGGGTAGTAGGCAAAAATATGGGCCCAAAACGTGAGAAAAGCGCCTGGTGCTCTATGGAAGTGATGTGCGCGATGTTGGGACTATAAGAATTTTCACTGGGATCTTCACCAATACCGAGCATTTCTCCTTAACTCGGCATAGTTGCAGAAACTTCTTACCACCCTAATTTCCTATGTTTTGATGTGATGACCTTATGTAAGTGACGAAGCAAAAAGTAGGAAGTAACAGACTGTACTGTAAAAACATCTACACCTTTGCAATTTCTTGTCTTGGTCTCATGTTTAACCTCTCCCTGGCTATGTGAGTGGGAAACGCTGAGACATAAAAAAGAAAAGTTTACGGAGGCCGTTCGCGGACTGCTCTGGTGAATGGTGTATCCGTTACCAGTCATCATATTTTAGAGGAAAGGAAGGTTGGTTGGTTGAGAAGCATAATTGCCAGGGATTCAACGCGATGGTCCTGCACTAAACACTGCTCCATCTCCAGTCCAAACCTGAAAATTTCCGTAGGTGGAAAAGTTGACCACTACACAGTAAAATTTTGTTCCAAACCTGAAAATTTCCGTAGGTGGAAAAGTTGACCACTACACAGTAAAATTTTGTTCATGTAAATTTTATTTCGCATATGTACATGCAGACGGGAAGGGAAATTTTTGCTGTGCCGAAGGATATTTATCGTAGCCACATGCCATAACCTCCCATGCCGTATCCGAGTCCCATCATACCAAGGCCACCGTAACCGTATCCTAGGCCCATGTAGGGATAGCCCTGAAATGCATAGCATTACGGTTAACTGTTAAGAATCTGCTTGAGTGACTTCAACTCACGAAGAATTGGGCGTTTGTAGTTGCCACAGAAAGGCAGAACACAATCATAGCGATGAGGAGAATGCTGAACGAACCCTTTCAATAGTGTAGATTCTCATTAGACGTTTAGGGGAGCACAAGGCATGGTTAAATTGAAATGAACTACTTACACTGGAGAGAATGCCATGTTAATGAAGTTGATGACAAGGAAGGTTGCCTGTTGCTGACGGAAAGTTCTGAGCTTAAATATTGCCTCAAGGTTTGTTCACTCTCGACCTTTTGTGAAACTTGGTAACCTCCGCCCACAAAAAGACGTAAAGCTTGTTTACCGAAAGGCTATTTTCTCGATGTCATGATTGCCAGTGGCTAAAAGCATTATGTTTATCCGTAAGGTTTCAAGTCCCGCCAGCTGGTAAACCTGCTTTTGACATTTCTCTACAACAGTGTTTTTCATGATACCGCAATCGCACTCAGTAAAGCAAACCTTGAATCCGGTTGCCCTTCGTAATCACGTTGATACTGTAATACAGACATTGCCCATGCTATGGCTTACTGAGCAAACTTGTGCTCAAGCTCGAATTTTCGATGTTTCTGTGATTGTCCGTTGAGCGTAAACAGCTTTGTTTAGTACTGAAGCAAAGCCTTTAAAGGACCTTTCTGTGTTCCCTCCCTTACAACTACCCCCCCCCCCCTCAACCACAGTAACAGAGTAGCGTATGCCTCCACAGTGACTTGTTTGTGCGGCATGCAAGGAACAAGGTTAGACGCCTTGGAGGTGTTCCCTTTACATTAACCACTTGAATTTCATGGCATTAATCCCATATTTCACTAGTCACATAGTTGTCTGCCAGGCTTGTACCATCAATGAATTATGAATGAAATATTCGAAAAACTTCGTTTCCAATCAACCTCATTGCTCAAATACCAAATCGACAAATCAGTATTAGATTGACACACTGTGAAAACCCTGTGTACGCAAAGATTCGCGCGATTCTTTTGAGAAGTGTGTTTTGAGTTTTTTACAGTGAAATTGCTCACAGTGAAAACTCGCTCGGCACAGTCGCTCGAACTTGGTAACTAGAATTTCCAGAAATCTTATTATAATTACTTGAAAAAATTCAGCAGCGCGAATCTTAGGGAAATGTATGACTCAAGAGAATCTCATGGTCCGAATCTGCTATTCATTCGTAATGGTTAATGTGCATCAGCTGCTCCAGTGTGTTTGTGAAGGCATGGGATGTCGATATTAGCAATCATCTAAAAAGCACACTTTGCAAAAGTATTCACTGTACATTTTCATCGTTTTGCTGCTGTTGCCATTAATTGCCGAATCACACATCATTAAGATATAATTATGGAAATATTACGGTATTATGAAAACGAAGATAGCAGCGAGCTTGTTGTAAACAACTAATTTCGCTTGATTTAAAGTCGATAATTCATTTCCTCTATAATTTTCTTGAGAAGCTTGTTAGCTAACAAAAAGCAAAGCATGTCGGCAAAAAGCGCTGGAGCGGTCACTCCCGAACATTTACTGCAGAGAGCAGAGAAATGGCAACTCATGTAACAGAGCATGTGCTTAATGTCCAGAATTCGTGACGCCGCACTGTATGGGCCAAAAAAAGAAAGAAATGATGGGCAGGACACGTGGTAAGAAGCACGAACGATCGGCGGATCACTCGATTTTACATGCTGGACCATGAGCGCGCACGTGGCCATCTTGCAACGAAATGTAGTGACTTTCCAGAAAAAGTTCAAGAACGTGGGCAATCACCAGGCCCAAAAAGCCCGTGATCGTCGAAAATGTCGGAAATTGTGGGCTTGTCAATGAACATTAAGGGCCGACATCGAGCATGTCAGTATCCAAGTAAGTGAGGAGGGTAAAGGGATTATCGCAAAAATGGCTTGGCACAGGGACCTGAGCATAACGTAGACACCGATTCACGTGAATTAGGATTCCTAACCGTATGGCCATAGGATGGCTGGTTTTGTATAGCAAATTGTTTTAGAACATTGACAATATCAGCCGAGATGCTGACGTAACTGGAGAATGATGACAACAAATAATTTCCCGCAGCTAGATAGGAATGCTTTGTGCTAACATCGAGATTGCGATCAACTTTTTTGTGAAGGCATTGAAATTATATTGTTCCTGTAGGTAGAAGCAGGTGCATCTAGCGTACATAGTCATTTTGTATAGAAGGGAGAATTTTGGAGGGAAAGATGTTATATTCGGAATGTTGGTGGCGTTCCTAGCACTAGCTTTCATTCGGGAAAATGTCGCATTAATACGTGAGTCCTTTTGTTTCGTGTAGCTACTTATTAACATGTTCTATTGTCAATCTCGACAACTGCCTCAACTTCATTAGAAGGCTGCTTTTTTAGGTTCAGGATATTGTGTACAGAACAGGACGAAAGAAACTTTTAGGATCTTGAATAGGATTTTCAACGACAACCTAGTCGGTTCTTCGGTATCTTCATTTGATTCACCTAGAATCTCTTGTAAGATTGTATTCGCAGATATGGAGTAATCATTGCGAAAAAACGTGCTGGAATGGTTGAAGTCACCAAAAAAAATGTAAAGGCTGACATGGTCATCAGAGGAAAAGCGTAAGTACCTGTGCTTTTGTATTATCCTTTTATTCACAGTAACGCAGCACTGTGCAGGTACTTCCCGAAAGCGGACTACAGACCGTTAGAAGTGAAACTGCCTCAAATTTTGGGGCACCGTTTCGAGAGAAGAAAGAAGGAGGTGAATACATCNGTCCGAATCTGCTATTCATTCGTAATGGTTAATGTGCAACAGCTGCTCCAGTATGTTTGTGAAGGCATGGGATGTCGATATTAGCAATCATNAAAAAATGTAAAGGCTGACATGGTCATCAGAGGAAAAGCGTAAGTACCTGTGCTTTTGTATTATCCTTTTATTCACAGTAACGCAGCACTGTGCAGGTACTTCCCGAAAGCGGACTACAGACCGTTAGAAGTGAAACTGCCTCAAATTTTGGGGCACCGTTTCGAGAGAAGAAAGAAGGAGGTGAATACATCACCACGTTATGGAGGTTTCCGTGTGTCTATGACTCTCATTTTTAGCAGGGTACCACTACTGTGGACCTGTTAAGATCGCTCGTCTTCCTCCGTTCACAATATACGGATGCAACGGCATTGTCAATACAAAAGGAAAGGCGAAAGATTCCGTTTATGCTGCCTGTCTGTACTTGAAACCGCCCATGAAGTGAATAGCAGTGAAGAGTCGAAATCAGAAGGCCCCCTACCAAAAGAGGCAGGAGAAATTCTCAAAACAATCAGTTCGATGTACAACGACGGTGTGGTCAGTTTTGATAACGATGTGAGGAATTCACATTCATTCATAAGACTGTGATTACAGAAATGGAGCGATGAGTGGGCGAAGAAGGCACTGGAATGGCTGAAGTCACCCGAAAGTGTAAAGGCTGACTTGGTTATCAAAGGAAAAGAGTAAGTAACCGAGTTCTTATGCCATCCCATTGGTCAGACAGGGCTATTCCGACAGGTATTTCCCGAAGACGAGTCATGGACTGCTGTGGCAGAAGCTGCTTTTGATCCTTGAACCCCGTTTTGATCACAGAAAAAGTGAGGTCAGTATAGAACATGAGGATGTCATGCGGAAATGTATCTGGACAGTTATACATTCCATGTAGACTGTACCAGTCGCCTCAAGCCAAAGATTAACTTATCAAGTGTGTTAAAGTCAAGAACCTACTCAATGGTACGATGGCTGGATGTGGCGGTATCATGAAACGAAGGGGAAGAAAGACTTCATTCACGCTGCCTGTCTCTTCAAGAAACCTTGAAGAAGCCGTATTCGTTCTGAGTCTCGTAATAAAATGACCGGATCGAAATTGTGTGAAGAGGAACTCAAAACCTGCTGAGCTTTCAGTACGGGCGAGTGTTTCTATCGTTCCGCCTAGTCGCAATTATTTTCAATCCGATCATTTACAAAGTCTTGTCTTTTTAAAGTAAGTGTGTATGTGGCATATACAATGACTTGCACTGGCTAACAGATGTACAAGCGAGTGTTTTACTCCCCAGACGAGTCTGGTACCAATATTCGACCCCGTAGGAGTGGAAGGCTTGGTTGGTCTGGGTAGATATCAACCCGAGACTCGAACCTTCAATCATGCGCGTGTTAAGTGCGCCACTAGCACTGCCACTGCGCCACGGTGACCCTTGTAACTGTTGCAAGCAACTGCGCTTTTTTCTGTAATTAACAGAAACAGATTCCTCCTTGTTGAATCATCTCTAGATGACTGCACTATATTTTGTCTGACTGGCCGAAATTGCCTCAAATATTGGAAATATGTTGTGACTATGACTTCAATCCTTATCATTTCTGATTGATATAAAAGCCTGAAACAAACGATTAGGTCGCTCCGGTCGAATAAACCTTCCAAGAAGTCTTCCTCGTCTAACCAAAACAAGGTCGTTCCTTCGAGGCTTCTAGGAATTGGATCAGAAGCGACAAATAGGAAGTTTCCATCAAGTTCGATTACTTGATGGCAACGTACTTATGGTAGAGTAACTAACAATCGACATAAAGGAATATATCAGCCAAATGGACTACACATGTGTAGATAGAAAAGGATGGAGACGACTACTTAAACGATCAATAACATGAACCTCACGCTTTTGCGAAAGGCATCGATGCACACCAAATGCGAGACTGTACGGCAACCTTTAGCGGTACTCGTCATCAACGCGACTGATTCATCGATGGCGATTCCAATCAAAGCATGGGACAGCGTGACAAAATCATTCTTCGGGTTTCCAGAAATCAATTCAATTGAGAAAGATGAAAATCTTCAGTTTTCTACTTTAAAAATGGGGCGTTCCTTGGTGGAGTAACTCTGAACACTGACGACACAATCGAAGTCGCAGGGGTATGTATCAGGAACTACTACGTTTTCCTAAAGAATTTGACATCGCAGTCAATAATATTCCCGAACGCTTTGATATTGTACGATCATCTCGTCTCAATCAAAACGTGGAAGAAAGGCGGATTGCAGTACGACTCGAAATTGACTTGCAAGGCACACGCCATTTGCAAAACTCTTCAATGTCTTAATTGTTGGAAAAGGCTATACAGTTATCAATGTTGGTCCTACAAATACGGAATTGCGATTCTCCTCATCAATGGTCTACTACTAGCAATAGCACCAGCAATTTACTATTTTCCAGAACAATACGCCTTGCCCTTTACATCATATAAACAATAAATAATAGTACACTACTGTTGCTCAATCGGTTATATGCCACCAAAGCGACTACATCAAGCACACCGCTTACCAAAATATATACATGGAAGGAAGAGAAATCGACGGAGAGCCTTTGCGCCCTGCACAATTCTCATCCTATTTCAACTAACGTGCACCATCGATGGATGTTCCGAAGTTGTCACAACAACAAGAAGAGACGAAGTCTGCAATCCGGTGGAAACAAAAAAAAACTTGCACGTTCAACCACGCCACCACAATAACACTTTACCTTTGCAGCAACAAACTTGCTTGACGCTAAACGATCCACAAAATCTACCAATAGTAAAGTCACGACCAAATCAGAACGTATCAAAACAACAAGAATATCGGATTCTACACACGTGACCATCAGATCATATCCTAATCAGTGCACCGATGCCACCGCGCAGGAACTTGCCATCCAGACGAATGCCATAAAGTAAAAGAAAATGATAAACTCGAAGAGTTTCCAGATACTGCGAATAATGGTACCGGATATTCTTCTTGCTCCTTGAGCTGCAGCTTGCTCACGTGCGATGGTTGCTTCCCTCCCATACCTAGCTGTTTCTTTCACCGATTCTATGCTACTGCTACGACGTCAACAGTGTACATCGTTTTTCAGTGTCCACGTTGGGGACAAGGTCGACGCAGAAGTATCCCTACAGCAAGAAGACAAAATAACAACTTCGACAGTAGTGCTACCTCCAGGACGCACGAGTAGGTGGAACAAATTCCACTTTTCTTCGTTTGCACCATAACACCACAACTCACAATACTGTCATCCACCTTCATCACGTACGGAAACAAAACATCCATCATCAATTCAGCTCAGAGCTGTCTACTACAAAGTCACTCCGTAGGACAACTACAATGTTCAACGCGGCATGCAGCAGAGCAAGTCAATTCCGTTTTCTCGCGCAATATATGTACATGCACGACGGCTCTACATAGCACTTGCAGTAATGGAAACGTACGAGATCGTATGGACTCCCAACCCTTCCACAGGCTTCGAAAAACTTCACAGTTTTCGGATCCAACAACAACATCTACGCAAGAACAAACGCCGGATCTGCAATACAACTCCACATATTCGCCGGCCGAAAATCTCCGCATAACGACACTAAAGCACATCAGCTGTTGTCATGTAGAAACAACCCCCTTATCTGGCTGCTATAGCTGCTTTACCGGAGCCTCAACAACTATGTCCTGCACAAGCGACAACCACGAAGTACTGGCACAAGTCAAATGCGGTCAACATTCTCATGCAATCAGATGTACTGAATATGGCTTCCTCAACACTGTTTTCTTCATGTTCGACACTCCAACCATAGCAGCCGACTGCATCGCTGCTTGTCCGAGAGGGACCATGAACTTCACGATAGAAGGATCTCTCGTCTTTGTCAATGAAAAGGCATTCTCTTCAGACACCAATGCAACACAAGTCGAATGGCAAGTGCAAAACGATCTGTTGTATGTGAATGACATTTTCGACAATTTCAAGAATAATCTCATAGCATTTGTGTATGGTATAGCATCATTCTTCGATTTATGGAGCTATTTTTTTCTCCTCATCATCGCACTAGTACTATTGAACCTCCTTTTCAGAATCGGTTCCAAAAAGTCTTACGATAAAGTCCATTAAATTTTGCTACTGTAGGAGTCTTTCTGTAATTAACAGGAATAGATTCCCCCTTGTTGACTCATTTCTAAATGACTGTGCTATATTTTCTCTGACTGGTCGAAATTGCCTCGAATATTGGAAATATGTTGTGACTATGACTCCAATCCTTATCATTTCTGATTGATATAGAAGCCTGCAATAAAAGAGCACGTCGCTCCGGCCAAATAAACCTTCCAAGAAGTCTTCTTCGCCTAACCAAAACACGCTTACCAACTGGCACTATCCCTCGATGCTTTGAGCATGCAAACTTTGAATGCTTACAACTTTTTNTTTTTGGCAGTTTTAATATCCACTTTTGTTAATAAAATTCCAAGCCCTATCGATATACTTTGGTCTCTATTCAAAGTTCCATGGGAATATGAGACCCTTCCTTGGTTAGAACCTGCAGCTGAAATGAGATTACTTGTGTGGACTAGCTGTTGAACGGGTTGGACACGCGAGGGACAGGGGGTCATGCAAACAGTATGCTCGATAGAATGTGCGATATAAGCGTATAGTGTGGAAGCAGGACTACCCGATAATGGAACCAATATAGTTCGAAGCTCAGTGGAGGCGACCTCATGATTTAGGGGGCCTCCACAAAATGAGGATGACAGAGGGAAGTGGCGGAAACTTGCAAGAAAACAGCTGACTTTCTGACTGAGCTTTGCAGAATAACTCTAGGAAGAAGTACAAAACGACGGTAATGATGGATTTATGGTGAGTCTGGTGCTAATCATCAGGCTTTAAAAAACGGTGGTTAATAACCAGGGATTCAACTCAGTGACGATGCGTATGGTAGCACGCCACTTCCACCCGCTCAAAGTGAGATGAGATATCCAAAGACCAGGCGGCCACGCACGCTGTAGAGTGCGCTACGTGCTCTAGCCATGGGGGACGGAGCCACATGTGCTGATTTTCATTGCAGACCTATATCGGCTTTATGAGTTTCCGCTCAAACCGCGCCCTCTTGAGCGGAGTATGGTCCTGCCACCCACTATAAGTGTTCATAAGTGTTCCCATCCTGAAGCCTTTACTCGTACCAAGTTCGAACTTTCCAGATCCACGGGGACAGGAGTCATAAATTTCTGCTCAAACCCCGCCCCTTGCGGGCGGAGTCTAGTCCAGCCGCCCACCATAAGTGTTTCCATCCCGCCGCCTATACTCCTTCAAACTTTGAACTTTCTAGGTCCATGGGGACAGGAGTTATGATTTGCCGAAATGTTTTCATAAAGCATTGCATTTTTGGAGAGCGCCCTGCCGGGTGCGGGGGTGGGTTTCCCCAGATCGATCTAACTTACCATGCACACTTCTAGCCATCTTTAAACCCCAGTTTTGAAGCCGCCTTGAGACTCAATTTGAAATCATGG